TACCTTAGCCTCCCGAGTAGCTGGGATTACAGGCGTCTGCCACAACGCCTGGCTAATTTTTGTATTTTTAGTAGAGATGGGGTTTCACCATGTTGGCCAGGCTGGTCTCAAACTCCTGACCTCAGGTGATCTGCCCACCTGGGCCTCCCAAAGTGCTGAGATTACAGCCGCGAGCCCCTGCACCTGGCCCAAGAAACATTCTTAAGCATGCTTGATCTTGGTAAGTTCCCCTGATTTCTTCCGTAGGAAAAAAACCTAGAGATTGAATTTCTCTGTCTAAGAATAAGTAAAATTCTAAGGCTTTTGATATACTTTTCTAAGTTTCCACCAGAAAAATTATACCAATGTATACTCCCACTTGCAATGTATTAAAGTGCCTACTTCCTTGAATCCTTCCTAACACACTGGGTGTTCACATGATTTTAATAGGTTTAATTCGATAGGTTAAAATTCTGTCTCCATTGAATTTACATTTCTTTGCTTATTAATGTGGCTAATAAACTTTACTTATTTACTAAGACTAGGACTGGACAGTGGAGGCCAGATACCTCTGGCTTTTTGTTTAGATGAATAAATTTTCTTTTTCTTTTAATCCATTCAAGTTGAGTCTCTGTCACTGAAACCTAAACTACACTAACCAATATAATCCTCTGAGGCATACTGAAGTTTTAAAACTTGTATAGTCATTCATTATGTTTTATGGGTTTTTTCTTATGTTTAGAACCCATAGGAAGATCTCATGAATATTTACCAAAATATTTTTCCATTTCCTACTGGGTTAAGATTTGAATTTGAATTATTTATCTAGAATTTATTCTAGTGAATAATTATCAGGAAAAGTCTTTTTTTTTTTTTTTTTTTTTTTTTTTGAGATGGAGGCTTGCTCTGTCACCCAGGCTGGAGTGCAGTGGCGCAATCTCGGTTCACTGCAACCTCCGCATCCCAGGTTCAAGCAATTCTCCTGCCTCAGCCTCCCTAGTAGCTGGAATTGCAGGCGTGCACCACCACGCCCAGCTAATTTTTGTATTTTTAGTAGAGATGGTTTCACCATGTTGGCCTGGCTGATCTTGAACTCCTGACCTCAGATGATCCACCCACCTCAGCCTCCCAAAGTTCTGGGATTACAGGCATGAGCCACCACGCCCATCCAGAAAAGTCTACAGCTTTTATTCTTTTCTAATAGTTTTAACCAATTATCTGATCAAAATTTACTTCATTCTTCCACTGATCCAATAGTACCTTTACTCTATGTTAAAGTAGCCGCTTAAAATGTAAATTGGATCACATCAAAGACCTGCTGCTGACCACATTCCCTTGCACTTTTAGAGAGCCTACAAAGTCCTGCAAGAGCTCACCCCAGCCTCTCTGCAACCTCACATTGCACCACTCTTGCTTCAGACACATCAGTCGGAGTTCCACATCAAACTTGTCTGAATATATTCCAAGTATGCTGACCTTTATAATCATGCTATTCTCTCAGCCTAGAAAGCTTTCTTCCAACTCTCCAAACAGCTGCCTTCTCTGATAAGATGCTACCTCCTCAGAGAGGCCTTCTCTGACCACAGTCATAGGCATGTTTATGTCCTCATTTCAGTTTAACATAAAATTAACGTAACTGTACACCTCTTTATCATCTGACAGTTTTAGGAGCACATCACTTCTATAATAGCAGAAATAAACAGATTCACGTACATCGCGGGTCCCACATGGGTAGAGTTTAATTGACGTTAAAATGTCTTCAAATCTATTACACTGTGATTTGGCATTAAACCAAAATGATATTATGTAAGCAGACAGAACTGAAACAGAGTAGTGGAGCATATGCATTTGTTTTTAGTGAAGCAAATGTTCCTCACTGGAGGAATGAACACATTCCACATTTTGCAAAGGAACTGAGATTTTAACGGACCCAAGAAAGGAAAATACCCACAAACAGATGATGCCGTATTATGTTTTGCTATTGAGATGTATGCAAATGGATAGTCCATCACACATAAAGCAAGAAAGTGCCAACATCAAAACTTACAAATGAGTAGCAGAGGCTTGCAAGAAATTCGAGAGACAATAGAATAGCACTATTGAAAAATGCTGCATCATCAATACCCTTGACAACACAGAGTAGGATATTATACAGAAAAACAGCAGTATCAGCAACTGAGTGGAGAAACAGTAGGAATGTCTTAATATTTTTAAAGTCTAAAAGTTATTTTAAAACAAAATAGACCTGACGTGGTGGCTCACGCCTGTAATCCCAGCACTTTGGGAGGCCGAGGCAGGCAGATCACATGAGGTCAGGAGCTCAAGACCAACATGGCGAAACCCCGTCTCTACTAAAAATACAAAAATTAGCCGGGTGCGATGGCGCTTGCCTGTAATCCTAGCTACTCGGGAGGCTGAGGCATGAGAATTGCCTGAACCCAGGAGGCGGACGTTGCGGTTAGCCAAGATCGCACCAGTGCACTCCAGCCTGGATGACAGAGCGAGATTCCGTCTCAAAAAAAAGAGGAAAAAAAGAAATTCTAAGTGATAAAGCATTGTATAACAGTTTGAGGCTGGGCACAGTGGCTCATGCCTGTAATCTCACACTTTGGGAGACCGACTGGGAAGATCGCTTGAGCCCAGGAGTTGGAAACCAGCCAGAGCAACATAGTGGGACTTCTTCCCTACAAAAACATTTAAAAATTAGCCAGGTACAGTGGTGCACCCCTGTAGTCACAGCTATTTGGGAAGCAGGAGGATCCTTCGGGCCTAGAAGTTGGAGGTGGCAGTGAGCAGTGATCTTGCCACTGCACTCCATCCTGGGTGTCAAAAGGAGACCCCCCTCTCTAAAAAATAATAGTTTGACAGTTTTCTTTCTTGTGCTACATAAAATAATTGTACACATTACAATTGAAGGCATCTTATAATAGAAATACCAGAAATGCCCTTTCCTGTTCCTTTTTAAGGCTGACCCAGTGCTCTAAGAGGCTGATACAGAAGGATAAAGTTAAGTCTCCACAAAACCCAGGGAAGAGACTGTGAAACTCCTCTTAGAACCTTGTATGGAGTCATAGCCGAACTAGAAAAAAAAAAAAAAAAAAAAAAGGAAAGAAAGGCATTCCAGAGATAAAGAATAGACTAAGGAGAGGAGATACTTGAAGCCATAATGATTGAGAATATGTAAGACTTGAAATGAATCTTCAGTTCCTTCAACAAGATAAATAAAACTAAATCCATACCTAGATACGTGGTAGAAAAACTAAAGAATTCTACTGACTAAGATATTAAAAGTAACTAAAGAGAAATGGTGTAAACAAAGCAGGAGAGAAACAACAAACCCTGTCCATCCTGTAACAATTGAAATTTTCTGGCTGGGTGCAGTGGTTCACGCCTGTAATCCCAGCACTTTGGGAGGCCAAAGCGGGTGGATCACCTGAGGTCAGGTGTTCGAGACCAGCTTGGCCAACATGGTGAAACCCCCGTCTCTACTAAAAATGCAAAAATTAGCCGGGTGTAGTGGTAGGCACCTGTAATCCCAGCTACTTGGGAGGCTGAGACAGGAGAATTGCTTGAACCTGGGAGGCGGAGGTTTCAGTGAGCCGAGATAGCGCCACTGCAGTCCAGCCGGGGCAACAGAGCAAGACTCCGTCTCAAAAAAAAAAAATTGAATTTTTGACACAGATGAGCAATGATTAAAAAATGAGATTGCTAATATCTGTAGTTAGGAAAATAAAGATAAATGAGCATGTTCATACACAGTCTTGGCTAGAATGTAAATTGCAAACTTTTAGAGATTTAGTAACATTTATCAAAAATTTAGCCGGGCATGGTGGCACATGCCTGTAATCCCAGCACTTTGGGAGGCTGAGGCGGGTGATCACCTGAGGTCGGGAGTTCGAGACCAGCCTGGCCAACATGGTGAAACCCCGTCTCTACTTAAAAAAAAAAAAAAAAAAAAAAAAAAATTAGTCGGGCGCGGTGGTAGGCGCCTGTAATCCCAGCTACTCGGGAGGCTGAGGCAGGAGAATCATTTGAACCTGGGAGGCGGAGGTTGCAGTGAGCCGAGATCGCGCCACTGCACTCCAGCCTGAATGACAGAGCAGGACTCCATCTCAAAAAAAAAAAAGAAAGAAAAGAAAAGAAAAAAAAATTAAATGTGTACGCTCTTTGACTCAGCTGTATTACTTCAAGGAGTTGATAGCACCAAAATTGCCTAAGTGCCCAAAGGTGTTTGTAATTAACAGGAGATTGATAAGTTACATACATGTGATGCTATCTTTTAAAGAGGTACTGATATAAAAAAGATGTACGTGGCATAAAATTAAATGTACTTTATTAAGTACTTTTTCGAAGTGTTTACGGAATGAGTGCATTTTGAAAAAAAAAGTGTATTCGAACTTTCAGAAAAGCTTTAAAAGCTTTATACAAGGAACGATTGAGTGATTATAAGAGCTGGCAGTGGAATGTTAAGAGGTGAGAGGGAGCTAAGTTTAACATAACAATTCACCTCTTTATGGTGTGACACTTAGGAGCGCATCACTTCTGTAATTGAAAAATAAAGTGCATATTTGCAGCAGCTGTACTCTTCAGGCTACAAGGAGGCTTTTCCTCCCGGTAGGCTGGATTTGCTTTTCACTTTCACTTTCGTGGCTGGAAACTTTCTACCCACGGAGCTGGAGGCTGAGGAGGCACCATAAAGCTGGGGCTTGACGAACCGGGGCCTGGGCCGGATCCCCACATATGCCCGGACTTGTTCAGTGGTCAGGTTCAGGAGTCAGGCGAAGAGGCGGGGAGACCTGCGGGACGCTGCCCCGCCCTGCACCCGCTTCCTCCAATGTATGTCCTAGGGGGCGGGCCTCGCGGGGAGCATCGGCACGATTGGCCCTAAATTCTAACCCGCCCAGGCCGTGGGCCGGGCAGCGTGGTGACGTCGCAACGCGGCGCAGGGTAAGAGCGCGCGCTGGCGGACGCGGCGGCATTAAACGGTTGCAGGCGTAGCAGACTGGTAGTTCTGTTTCTAGGTCTCAGCTTCTCGTCACGACGTTCGCCCGCTCGCTCTGAGGCTCCTGAAGCGGAAACCGGCTAGACTTTCCTCCTTCCCGCCTGCCTGTAGCCGCGTTGCTGCCACTCCGCCACCATGTTCGAGGCGCGCCTGGTCCAGGGCTCCATCCTGAAGAAGGTGTTGGAGGCCCTCAAGGACCTCATCAACGAGGCCTGCTGGGATATTAGCTCCAGCGGCGTAAATCTGCAGAGCATGGACTCGTCCCACGTCTCCTTGGTGCAGCTCACCCTGCGGTCTGAGGGCTTCGACACCTACCGCTGCGACCGCAACCTGGCTATGGGCGTAAACCTCACCAGGTGAGCCTCGCGGCGCCCAGAAGCCGGCCCCGGCCCACCCCCACCTCCGGGGTTTGGCGGGATCGGTTCCGAGCCGAGCCCTCATTGGCTGGCGTGGACCATCCGCACCTTCTCATTGGCCTGCCATGCAGGGGGGTGGGGCCCAGCTGAGCGCGCGGTTCGGAAAAGCCCGCGCTGGCTGCTGCGCGAACCTGCTTTTTCGCGCCAAAGTCACAAAGCGGGTGGTGGCGGGAAAATGACTGGTTTTTCTGCAGTGCCAGGAACACTGCTCCAGAGCTTTTGCTCACTAAATCCTGTTGGCCTTGAATGGACGCTTTAGTTGTGGCTTTTTTGTTTCCGAGACGGTCTCGATGTGTTGGCCCGGGCTGGTCTCCAACTTCTGGGCTCAGGCGATCCTCCCGGCTCAGTCGCGATTGACTTTAAATGCTTTATAATGTGCCCTTGCGAGAAAAGTGTCAGCCTGTCATCCTACTTAGTGGCAGGAGATTGTTTCTATCCAGAAGGGAAACTGCCGGTGGTATTTTAGTATAAATACTGCCAGATGCATTCCAAAATGTCTGCATTAATATTCGCATCCTCCAGCAGTGCAATTACCCTCCACCAGTTCTGAGACGGCCTATGGGTGAGAGTGGTAACCCCTTCTAACTGCATTAGAAATACAGACCTTCAGTAGATGGTGTTGATTTTAAACCATGTGTCTCCTGTCTTCTAGTATGTCCAAAATACTAAAATGCGCCGGCAATGAAGATATCATTACACTAAGGGCTGAAGATAATGCGGATACCTTGGCGCTAGTATTTGAAGCACCCAGTAAGTCGTACCTTTTTACTGAGTTATGAAGCTACAGAAGATCAAAACTCTGTGCCAGTGTTTCTCAACAGCATTTGCTTTTTTTTGGTAGACCAGGAGAAAGTTTCAGACTATGAAATGAAGTTGATGGATTTGGATGTTGAACAACTTGGAATTCCAGTGAGTATCAGTTTCTGATTGTAGCGACTGCTGTACACAGGCATGATAGTTATGTCATAGAATGTTGTTTATTTTTACAGACAGGGTCTTCCTCTTTTCCCCAGGCTGGAGTGCAGTGGTGCCATATAGCTCACTGTAACCTGGGACTCCTGGGCTCAAGCAATCCACTTAGTCTCCTAAGTGGCTAGGAAGGACTACAGATCTGTCCCACCACGCCTGGCTAATTTTTTTATTTTTGTGTGTGGGTGTGGGGGCAGTCTTGCCCAGGCTGGTCTGGAACTCCTGGCCTCAAGGATCCTCCTCCGTCAAGATAAGTTAATATAATTTAAGCCTACTTCATAACAGAACTTTTTCTAGAAACATATCTACTGGTGCATGTTTTAAAGAGATTTTAGTATTTGGATAGTTGTTTACCACAAGTCTAAAACTCACTGGTTAAATTTATTGTTTACTGCCAGTTGTCTATTTGCATTAATTTCCATGAACCTCTTTTAAAATTTGCTTCCTTCTAGGATGGTTGGTTTTGTTTTGTTTTGTTTTGTTTTTGAGGCAGAGTCTCGCTCTGTCGCCCAGGCTGGAGTGCTGTGGCCGGATCTCAGCTCACTGCAAGCTCTGCCACCCAGATTTACGCCATTCTCCTGCCTCAGCTTCCCGAGTAGCTGGGACTACAGGCGCCCACCACCTCGCCCGGCTAGTTTTTTTTGTTTTTTTTTTTTTTTTTGTATTTTTTAGTAGAGACGGGGTTTCACCAGGTTAGCCAGGATGGTCTCGATCTCCTGACCTTGTGATCCGCCTGTCTCGGCCTTCCAAAGTGCTGGGATTACAGGCTTGAGCCACCGCGCCCGGCCCGATGCTTGGTTTTTGTTAAGTGGGTTTGAAAGCTATCTTAGAAGAAATGTATCCAGGTTAGGTTTATAAACACCAAAGGAGAGAAGAAATGTTGGAATGTTGAAAATGCCTAATATCATATTCTCTCGTTTTCTTTTAGAAAATAGTTAGACCTGCTTGCGCCGTCATCATTTCTGTGGCATACTCTAATGTTCTCTTACTTTATCCCTGGAGGATGAGGAGGAGGAGGCGCTTGTTCCCTGGGCAGTGCATTTAATAGCCATTTATTTTTTTTGAGTGGAGTTTGTTAAGAAATTACACGAGTCAGTAATCAGAAAATCTTGATTCTGAGTTGTTTAGATGTTGCCTTTTAAGAAAGTGAGGGTGCCAAATCATTAAATTTCTAACAAGTAACTTTTGGAAAATTTTTGTTCTTAATAGGAACAAGAGTACAGCTGTGTAGTAAAGATGCCTTCTGGTGAATTTGCACGTATATGCCGAGATCTCAGCCATATTGGAGATGCTGTTGTAATTTCCTGTGCAAAAGACGGCGTGAAATTTTCTGCAAGTGGAGAACTTGGAAATGGAAACATTAAATTGTCACAGACAAGTAATGTCGATAAAGAGGAGGAAGCTGTAAGTAGTTTTTAAGTAAAAAAAAATAGTTTGAAGAGAATTGTAATACTGCTTATTAGGTTAATTGCTAAAATTAAAAGTAGACAGAATTGGATCCCAAGTAATTTCTGAAAATTGAGATACTGTTGAAATCTGCAACTGATTTGTGTCATCCAATTTAGAATTATATTTGCAAGAAGGGAATACAAATTCAGCACGTGTACATACCACAGAACAATGGTTTATGGATCAAGCCCACACAGGCTCTTAAGGGTAGGATTGGGAAGCTAGGCATCTAACCTTTAGCTTTCTGGAGATATTTACTCTTACCAATAAGCATAGAACAGCAACTCTATAGAAGGGTATGGTTAGGAGTAAAAGTCTACCTGTTAGGAGCGCTTATGTAATCCTTATATTAGCGTACATGTTGTGGGTCCAATTGGTAGCCCATTTTAAAGGTGGAGAAGCAGGCTGAGCAATCTTAAGTGACAATTTAGCCAAAGTCACAGGCTGTAGGAATCAAAGGTTAAACAGGAAGACTTCTCACTAAGGCTAGAAAGCAGACTCCGTGCAACTTTGAGAGTACTTAGAGAGCCCTTGCTTAACCAAAATAGAAAAAATTAGCCGGGCATGGTGGTGCACACCTGTAACCCCAGCTACTCGGAAGGCTGAGACAGGAGAATGACTTGAACTGAGGAAGTGGAGGTTGCAGTGAGCCCAGATCATGCCACTCCCCTCCAGCCTGGGTGACAGAGCAAGACTCCATCTTAAAAAAAAAAAAAAAAAAAAAACTCGGTAACCTGAGCATAAATTAAAACTTGGTAAATCAAGGACGAAGGTCCTAATCTCATAAGCTTGTTAGGATTAAATATGGTAACATTAAAGAGCTTAGCATATGCTGTGTCTGGCATATTACAAGCTTACAATAAATACTATATATTGCTTTCTTGTCCCTTGAATGGGTAGTCAACATTTAGTTTAAATAAAGTTGTAAAATTCAGTTGGAAGTTGTTTTTTTTTTTAATTAATAAAGGCTAGGAGCTGATTCTTTATCTGTTTCCTGAATCACATTTCTGCTCCTCTGCTAACCTTATTTTTTTCTTTTTCTGTTTTTCTTTGTTTTTGAGACAGGGTCTTGCTCTGTCCATCCAGGCTGGAGTGCAGTGGTGCAGTCATGGCTCACTACAGCCTCAAACTCCAGGGCTTAAGTTGATCCTCCTGCCTTGGTTTCCCTAGTAGCTGGGACTACAGGTGTGTGCCAACACACCTAGCCTGGTTTCCTCTAATTTCATTCTTCCCCTTCCATTACAGTCTATTTGTTGAAGAAATTAGATGATTTGTTAAGTTTTCCAGAGTTTGGATTTTGCTGATTGCATTCCTGTGTATACGTAAATTCTTCCACCCTGTGTCCTACAGACTGGTAGCTATAGCCCTGGAGCCTTGATGATATTCAGGATGTTTTGTTTCAGGCGGGGGTGAGAGAGCACGAATACTTTATAGGTGGTGGTGTGTGCCTCTAGTAGAAGGCACAAGGGGTCTGGATGTCTTCGCAGTGTTAGCAGCTATAATAGTCATTGTCTAGATCCATTAAGTCATTAGAGTTTGCAGAGCTGAAATTAATACGTTTTATTCATTTATTAGCTGCTTATCAGAAGAATTTCCATAAAGAAAAGCTTTCCCATATTATATAATTTGGTTATCTAAATTATAGGAAAGACGAGCTAGATACTCGATTCTTTTGCTTTACGCATCAGTCTTCAAAATTTTCATAACTCCCTCCAAAGTGACTAATAAAAGTGTTTGTGGGTTTTTATAAATGCAAGCTAATAGATTGCAACTTTCTTGATGTTTTTCAATGATGAATCTTCTGTTTTCTCTTGTAGGTTACCATAGAGATGAATGAACCAGTTCAACTAACTTTTGCACTGAGGTACCTGAACTTCTTTACAAAAGCCACTCCACTCTCTTCAACGGTGACACTCAGTATGTCTGCAGATGTACCCCTTGGTAAGATAATAAATTTGAACCTTGTTTTGTAGGTAGTATATGTGATACTCCTCAGTAATTAACTATCTTCCGGTCTTTCAGTTGTAGAGTATAAAATTGCTGATATGGGACACTTGAAGTACTACTTGGCTCCCAAGATCGAGGATGAAGAAGGATCTTAGGCATTCTTAAAATTCAAGAAAATAAAACTAAGCTCTTTGAGAACTGCTTCTGAGATGCCAGCATATACTGAAGTCTTTTCTGTCACCAAATTTGTACTTTTAAGTACATATGTAGATATTGTTTTCTGTAAATAACCTATTTTTTTCTCTATTCTCTGCAATTTGTTTAAAGAATAAAGTCCAAAGTCAGATCTGGTCTAGTTAACCTAGAAGTATTTTTGTCTCTTAGAAATACATGTGATTTTTATAATACAAGAGGGTCTTGACTCTAAATGCAGTTTTAGAATTGTTTTTGAATTTAAATAAAGTTACTTGAATTTCAAACATCACAGGGCAGTGCCTTCATTTTGACCAGGACTGTTGGAAGTATCCTACTGAATTCCCAGCTACAGCTACCCTTTCATGTAAATGGTTTTTCAGTTTAGAGCAGCCTGATGGAGATCAAAAGGATTTCAAATACAGTAGGTTACTAGATATTTTAGGGGGATTCGCTTGTCAAACTTGTTATTCCAATTTGAGGACAAGGAACAAGTGAGAGTAGTACAAATCCTGTGTATTTCATTTTACTTGGCAAAAGTTAATACTCTTCAGAAGCTTCGTGTACCCAAAGTCTTGTTGGCTTTATAAGGATGTTAATGGAGTGTTTCTTTTTAGCCTAGGGAGTCCTACAAGAGTCTTTGATGTTTCAGTAGATCTGTAATGGGGCCCAAGGAGTATGGTTCTGCAAAATTTCTCTATTATAAATACACTTTTTGCAACTTCACTCACATAAAGGATGAAGATGTCTTAAATTCCATGGATGTTGGATCCAACCAAGAAAGTGAAAAAGCCCTGAAGTTACGAAGAAAGACTTAAAAACATTCCCATTAATAGCTGTAAGATAACTGTGCTGTGTATTAATTTTTTGCGTGGTGCAGTGCCTCACACCTGTAATCCCAGCACTTTGGGAGGCAGGCGGATCAACTAAAGTCAGGAGTTTGAGACCAGCCTGGCCAACATGGTGAAACCCCATCTCTACTAAAAATGAAAAAAAAAAAAAAAACTAGCTAGGCATGGTGGCGCATGCCTGTAGTCCCAGCTACTTGGGAGGCTGAGGCAGGAGAATCGCTTAAACCCGGGAGGTGGAGGTTGCAGTGAGCCGCGATCATGCCACTGCACTCCAGCCTGGGCAAGAGTGAGACTCCATCTCAAAAATACATATATATTTTTGGCTGGTTTGATAGTAGTAGGTTATCAGAACTTACATTAGTGTCACTAAAGTAGGTATACAACCCCCGATGCTAAATTTGGCTTTAGAAAAAGCATTTTTTAAAATTGCTTTATCATAATCCTTTTTTCCAGTGCATTTTTGTTTGGTAGATTAAATGACTAGTTTCTTTATTAAATTACTTGGACTGAGTTCTAGTTACTGGACATGAGAATTAACCATGTCCAGTAGTAAGTATTCATTTTCCTACAGTGTGCCTCTGAGTGAAGAAGGAAACAGGCTGCAAAAGAGGCTGATGGAATTTTGGGGTGATGGATGTATTTCCATCTAGATTGGTGATGGTTCTAGGACCATACGTATTTTCAGAGCTCATCTATTTGTACTTGTGTATAAATTATACCTTAATAAACAACTTTCTGAAAAGCTTCATGTGCAGCAAAATGTCCCTTGTGGGCAGGCCTTTTACCTGGACAAGGCCTGAAAATAAGCACAAGTTTGTGGAGCTATTCAAGGGAAGTATAGTGGGGTATTGACAGCACAGTTTACAAGTGTGCTATTCAAGGGAAGTGTGGTAGTGGGGTGTTGAAGGCGAGCGCCCGTGGAAGGCTGGCGCCTTGCAGCGGATATCTGGCCGCACTGACTTCTGGTCCTGAGGCTGCGACGGACTCGGCTTCTGCCTCCCTGGGAAGCCATGGCGCTCTCTAGCCTGGCCCCTGTTCTAAGGAAGGGAGAAACCACGTAGCTGGCTTGCCCTGGGCCTGACGGTGACCCAGGTGGGCGAGGACCCTAGGTGCTCGCCCGCCACAGTGGAGGTAGCCGGCGGCGGGCACAGGTCGTGGCTGCCTAAACAAAACCCACGAATCGGCATTCGGCCCGTACAGCCCCGATGCCTCCTGCAGCTGATACTCGGTAAGTGATAGCCTGGGAAGCTGGTTGAGGAAACAAACGCTTCCGGAGACGCAACTTCCGACGCGCCTGTTTCCGGCACGCCACTTCCGGCGCACTGATCCTGGCTGGGGCGGGCTGAGTGGCCCTTAAGCGGGCCGTACCATGCGACCTCGTGCGCTGCCAACCGTGGGCGAGCTCTGGGTGTGCGGGCGGCCTGGCGCGGCGCTCCGGTAAGGCGTGTGTGCGACGGGGCGGGGACGGAACCGTCCTCTTGGGCTCTGGGCGTGTCCGAGACCGCGCTTCCCGCCTAAATCAAGCTCCGAGTCATCCGTGTGGGGCATTCGTCCTCCCTGGCACAGTTTGTTTTACGTCTAAATTCTCGTCGGTTCTTATTTATCTCTCTGGCAAGGTCTGAAGACGGGCAGGAGAATAACGTATGTAGAGACGCGTGATGCCAGGCACTGTGCCAAACGTCTTATGATGCTTTTAGAACTCTCTTAACATTCAGGTGCTGAGGGAGTTTGGGGGTAGCGGTGAGCTGGTAAAAAGCCTGTTGGGAACGAAGACTGATACTTTGAAAATGCTCGTTTTTCTTTTCCCCCTCTTTTAGAATCCTCTTTGCCAAGAGTAAACATTCGTCTCCCCTCTCCCTCACGCCCCTGCGATGTGTTGTTTTGATGCGGATGTATGAGTAATGTCAGGACGTACTTAACAAAAAAGTCTAAGTGCAAGTTAGATGTGGTTAAATTCCTTCAAAAACCACACATATTGGTAGTTTGAACTTTTATAGAATTAAATGCAGTCGGGATCACAACACTAAAAACCTAGTATTTGACGCAGTTTGATCCAATCTTTTTTGAAAAGTATAGAGATTAGCATTATGCTCATTTTTCAATACTTGATTTCTAGACCAGGATGTAATCAATAAAAAGGGACACTAATATTTAGCACCAATTATTTAATTATTTATGCTAGTTACTTTGCATTGACTGCAAGCCACTTAAAACAGTTTGTTAGGCCGGGCACACTGGCTCACGCCTATAATCCCAGCACTTTGGGAGGCCGAGGCGTACGGATCAAAAGGTCAGGAGTTTGAGACCAACCTGGCCAATATGGTGAAACCCGTCTCTACTAAAAATACAAAAATTAGCCGGGCATGGTAGCAGGCGCCTGTAGTCCCAGCCACTTGGGAGGCTGAGGCGGGAGAGTCGTTTGAACCCTGGAGGCGGAGGTTGCAATGAGCCGAGATCGGGTCACTGCACTCCAGCCTGAGTGACAGAGCGAGACTCCGAGACTCCGTCTAAAAAAAAAAAAAAAACACCAAAAAAAGAAAACAATTTGTTAATTTTTGGAATTAAGTATGTGCAAAGTACTTAGAACAGCTGGCATCTAACAAAGACTAGGTAAGTACTAACCACCATTATTGTGATGATGATAATGATGAATTTTCAAAATGCCAACCCAGAAAAAAACTAGTCCTTTTTTTATGTTGCCCTTATGCCCTTATTGAAATGCTTCATTTTATTGTTATTATTTTTTAAGACGGAGTCTCGTTCTGTTGCCCAGGCTGGAGCACAGTGGCCCGATCTCAGCTAACTGCAACCTCTACCTCCTGGCTTCAAGCGATTCTTCTGCCTCAGCCTCCCGAGTAGCTGGGACTACAGGCACCCTCCACCATGCCTGGCTAATTTTTGTAGTTTTAGTAGAAACAGGATTTCATCATATTGGCCAGGCTGGTCTCGAACTCCTGACCTCGTGATCCACATGCTTTGGCCTACCAAAGTGCTAGGATTACATAGGATTACAGGTGTGAGCCACTGTGCCCGGCCAGTTTTCTTTTTTTTAAGATATGTTTTTGAATTTAGAATTTAAAAACTTTGACTAAAATATATTTATCCATTTTGATCATACAGCTTTACTTTATGGAGGAAAAGTGGACAAATAAAAAAAATTATTTTTATTTTATTTTATTTTTGACACAGAGTCTCATTCTGTCACCCAGGCTGGAGTGCAGTGGTGCAATCTCGACTCACTGCAACCTCTGTCTCCCAGGCTCAAGCGATTCTCGTGCCTCAGCCTTCCAAATAGCTAGGATTACAGGCATGTGCCACTGTGCCCGGCTGATTTTGGGGTTTTTTTTAGTAGAAACGGGGTTTTACCATGTTGGTCAAGCTGGTCTCAACTTACTGACCTCAGGTAACCCGCCCACCTCAGCCTCCCAAAGTTCTGGGATTACAGGCATGAGCTACCACACCCAGCATATTAATACAAATTGCCTTAATTTAAATGTTAGGATTTTTCAGACTTATCCACTGTCTCTTAAACTGGTGACATAATAGCCATGATTTCATTATCGCTGTCTGCTTTGAATATTTTGAACAAGAACCCAGGTTTTTATTCCATTTTTTTCTTTTTTTTTTTTTTTTTTTTTTTTGAGACGGAGTCTCGCTCTGTCACCCAGGCTGGAGTGCAGTGGCCGGATCTCAGCTCACTGCAAGCTCCGCCTCCCGGGTTCACGCCATTCTCCTGCCTCAGCCTCCCGAGTAGCTGGGACTATAGGCGCCCGCCACCTCGCCCGGCTAGTTTTTTGTATTTTTTAGTAGAGACGGGGTTTCACCGTGTTAGCCAGGATGGTCTCGATCTCCTGACCTCGTGATCCGCCCGTCTCAGCCTCCCAAAGTGCTGGGATTACAGGCGTGAGCCACCGCGCCCGGCCTATTCCATTTTTTTCTTTCTTTCCTTAAAATTTATTGTAAGATATTGTACCATGTTCCATTTCTTAAGGTTGGTACAGAAGTAATTAGGAAAATGAAGTACTACTTTTGGTGCTTGGGATGGGGCAGAGAGGTGGGCGCTTCTAGAGGCACTAGTATAGCCAGGCCCTTATCCAAATTTACAAGGGTCCTGGCATGGTGGCCTGTAATCCCAGCGCTTTGGAAGGCTGAGTTGGGCAGATCACTTGAGGTCAGAAGTTCAAGACCAGCTTGGCCAAAATGGTGAAACCCCATCTCTACTAAAAATACAAAAATTAGCTAGGCATGGTGGTGCATGCCTGTAATCCCAGCTACTCAGGAGGCTGAGGCAGGAGGATTGCTTGAACCCAGGAGGTGAAAGCAGCCGTGAGCGAAGATCGCGCCACCGCACTCCAGCCTGTGCAACAGAGTGAGACTCTATCACAAAGAAAAAGAAAAAAAGGAGTTCAAGACCAGCCCGGCCACCATGGTGAAATCCAGT